TCTCTTTTTTTTGTAAACCAAGCAAAAGTAAGTACTAGCTATTTTAAGACTCTCATCAGCATAAGACCAATGGAATTCCCACTCTAAGTTGGCTCAATTCCACTTAAATGCAAAGAAACTCAATATTTTAAATTCCAGCTTTATCACTGATAAGTATAATATTTCTGTGAGACTTTTTGTGTTTATTTCTAATACCTAAAATTCCCTAGAACTCTATATCTGGAACCAGTGACATATATCACCACAACTGAATTGAACAGGATGCAAAGGTGACATAGGGATTGTTCAAACACCTTTGTCTTATCTATAGAATACCCTTTGTTTTCAAAAGTTCACCCTATTCCACCAAAACACACATAACCAGGTCCACCCAAGAGCTGTGAGTTAGAATCACCAGGGATGGACTCCCAGTCTCTATATTTAGCAAGCTTCTCAGATGTGTCTGAGATACACAGAAAATTGAGAATACTGCATTACAGCATTTCCTATTTCAAACATGATGAGACCTAAGAGATGGGATTTAAGGCTGAAGGAGGACCCACTGCCCTGGAGTCCATTCCGACTCCTAGCGACCCTACAGCACAGAGCAGAACTGCTCCATAGGGTTTCCAAGGTTGTAAATCTTTACATAAGCAGAGACTTCATCTTTGTCCCCTGAGGGGAAGTGCCCACCTTTTGGCTAGCAGTGGAATGCTTTAACCACTGTACCACCAGAGCTCCTTCAGAAGAAGGGAGATGGGGTAGTTTATCCAGGAACTCGGGAATCTTCCTAGAAGAAGCTGTATCCCCTAGAAATCCACGAGGGTGATAGCACCCCAGAATCCCCGCCAGGCTCTATGGACTTCCCCACAGCACAGGTGTTTATCTTAACAAAGAAGGTGCACCACTTCCTTCACAATTGTATCCTTCCACTTCAAGGTCCCGATATTTTCGCTCATCAGCCCAGTGAAGTTTCCCCCCACCCTCACTGCCCGTTTCTATTTTCTTGCTTACCTATTTCGGTAGCCACGACTTGTACCCGGTATGGACTTTCAGTTTCCCTATCCAGCTGCGCCTTACTAAATATCTCGCCAGTGACAGGGTTAATTTTGAGCCAACCTCTATTGTCGTTTGTCAGGGAATAACTTCATAAAGTGAAGAGAGCAAAAAGAAAACTTGCATTACTTTGTGTGAAAATGTGAAAATATATTATGTATCATTATACTATCACGTCAGCATTATCATTTGTATATTATTTCTGCTATAGTTAAAGGAAAATTATCAAATATTATCAGTGCTTTATTTACATATCACCTGATGTCAAAAGGAGGATTTATTCATGGTTGTGCTTGTTTTATTAGGAAAGGTATTTCCACAAACCAAAAGCCAAATGCCATATGCACTGGGATACTGTGCTTCAGATTGCTGGCTGTTGCATTAAGGGAGAGACTTGAAGTTGGCCCAGCTTCTCTGCCCCTTGCAGCCCCCTCCACTTCCCCCAATGGCCTTGGTTGCAGCATGCAACTAGGCCTGCCCACACTGTTCTCCTTTACCTTATCTCCAGACCTTCGGGATCCTTAGCAGTCACATTGCCCAGTTTAGTGCCTATTGTTACATTCTCATGAACATTCACTTGGAATACTTGTTGGGAAAATGTAGGTGGCTCGTTTACATCTGTCACAATAAGCTTGAACGTGGCAAAAGAGCTTGAATTGTACTTTATACCAGACACCAGAGGCTCAGGATTTTCCGCATGGAACACAATGTTGTAAACAGGTTTTGTTTCAAAATCAAGAGGCTGTGTACAATGAAAAGAGAATTAATTTTTGGATGATAAAACCAAAAAATAAACCAAATCTCTTGTCATCAAGTCAATTCTAACTTTAAGTGACCCTATAGTATTGCAATGATTTTGGCTGACTCACTCCCTTGAAAGATTCATTCCCTATGCTCTTTTAAAAACTCTCACACAAAGCAATAGTTCTCAATCCAGTCAGCAAAAATAGATCCATGAACAGTCTTCACTGTAGGACTTATCAGAGCTTTTAATACACTGATTTGCTTTGTGACTCTCCAAGAAGAGGAAGTAGAATGCAGCACTCTTTAAATTTCCTTAACAGTGGGACAGGCCATTCATTCATTCCTTTAGCAAAAATTTATTGAGCCCCTGAAATATGTCAGGCACTTTTTGAGATGCTAGGAATAATATTTAGGTATATTAGTGAGGAGTCCCTGAGTGGTGCAAAAGGTTAATGTGCTTGGCTGTTAATCAAAGGTTGAGGGTTCAAGTCCACCCAAAAGTACCTTGGAAGAAAGATCTGGTAATTTACTTCAAAAAATTCAGTCATTGAAAACCCTAGGGAGCATTTCTCCTCTAACACATATGGGGTTGCCATGAGTTGCAATAAATTCAACAGCAACTGGTTTTTATATTAGTGAACAACAGATTAAGTCTCTTTTTTCTTCGCACACCTGTAGACATGATCCTGATCGAGATTCTCCCAAGATAGTTTTCAAAAGATAGTTTGGGAAATTATATAGAAATTTCCACATTATGTGGAGAATAATTTCCTGGGGGATCTCAGAACTTAAGGCACAAAATAAAAGACTTTAAGCTCATACAGAGGATGGAAGAAGTGATCATAGACAGAAAAAGATAAATGATCTGCTTTTGTTCCAGACCATGCTGGTTAGAACCAAGAATGAAAATCAAGAAACCAATGTTGGATCCAAGATGGCAGATTAGGCGGATATACTATCCAGGTCCTCTATAACAAAGGCTCAAGAAAACAAGAAAAATGGCTACGGATGACAATCCTAGATCCCAGAGTTTAAAATGAAAGAATAAAGAAGTAGATCAAATACTGATGTGAGGCAGAGACTGAACAAAAACAGTGAACAAAGAGTGATAAATGGTGGCCACTTTG